GCGGTGTTGATCAAAACGCTCCCTTCCTTCATCCTTCCGACTAGCACACTCCCCACTATGCCCCTTGTCTCCTTAGTTAGGGGGACGTGCAGACTCAACGTATCGCTGCGCTCAAAGAGCTCTTCTATGGTTCTCGCCCTCTGAAGACCCAAAGCCCGCTCCATCCCATTCGCAGTATAAGGATCGAAGAAGAGGACAGTCGACCAGCCCAGTGCTTTTGCCCGCAATGCCACAGCTGTACCGATGCGACCCAGTCCTAGGACACCAAACGTTCTCTGGGCGGACGGCCGCTGGAGCAGCGGAGTTGGATAGTGAGTCCAGTCAGCATGCTTTTTGGATATGAAGTTTCGTTGAAGGTCGTGATGTAAAAGGACGCCCCGACGGAGAGCAAGAGATAACGTGATGGCGTGGTCTGCCACTTCGGTCGTTCCATAATCTATTCGCCGGGAATCCATTCCATCAGTACTTGAGTGTTGATCTTCTGAAATACACACCTGGACAGTTGCAGACTGTGACACCTTTTTTAGCTAGTGCCACCCTATCGAGACGATCATAGCCGACTCCCATCCTTACGATTACTCGTAGATTAGGGAAGAGCAACAGATCTTCTTCGGTAACCCAGTGTCTAAAGACAAACAGACCATGCACGCGAGAACGAAGCGTCTCTGGGATGTCCGTGTATGGTTTCTCCTCACCGAGACGATACTGATGAACTTCGAATGCCCGTTTGGACAACGATGATGCCAGAATGGAAGTCTCGATGGTCGTGTCCTCATAAAGCCCCTCAGGCTCCAGTATCACTGACACTTGTTCTTCAGTGGTGCTCATAGACATCGACTGGTGGAGAGAGATTTCAAGGTGGATGAGATAGGTGATGGTTATTTGATCTGAATGGCTATATATATTTGCCAACGGACCGAGGGCTCCGGACGAAGACCTACAATCGAGTGTATGTATATCAGATAAATTAGATAGCCAAGACTGGTGAGTAGTGCAAAGAATCTACCTTCGAGTGCCCAAAGTAAGCGGCACTCCAGCGAGACCGTCAAGAAGGGCTTCGACAACTTTTCATGTGCGCCGTGTCCTCCATAAAGCGCGCCACGGTTGAATTTGGCTATTTAATTCGGTGTTCTTACATTGCCATCATGCTGCGAAGTAGATGTCGTGTTCAGGGGTTATGGACTTTTCTGGACGTGGCAAGAAGCAAACAAGTTGGTTGGTTCCAACCACCTCAGCGGCCATTGGCTTTGTGCACTAAGCTCGTAAAACAAGGGTATAACAAACACCTCGAACCTAGTATATGCCCTACCACGCCTTGGTTCATGAAACTATCCCAGCTTCCCGCTGATATCTTGCTGCTGGTTGCATCCTTTCTGGATGTGAACACACTGGTATCCTTTTCTCAGGTATGCACTACATTATACGATGAATATATTAACTCACTGGCGTGTAGGCCTTTCGTTCTGTTTATTCTCTTTCTCGGTCTTCTGTTACCTGGTGGCTCTATGATTTGGCAGTGGGCTATCTTCCGTCTATCAAGCCGATATCCTCTTATAGTGCTGATGAATTACGGAATGCGGCGTTACGGGCTCACCGTGCATGGGACAAGCTCTGCCAACCAACGCCCCTCGTCAAAATTGACGCCCACCTCACTGAAAAGCTCAGTACTGAACGCGGTGAAGCTCTCGACTATACAAAAGGCATCCAGACCGATTCCATCTCTTTTGATCCCAATAATCTCACCATTGAAGGAGGACGAAGCAGTGAGGTGATTGTCCCCGGAACACCCTACCTGTTTTATATCCAACAGTCCACCGAGCTGGAAGATCACAACTCCCCCAGACTTTTTAGCATCGTCTTTCGGCATCTTCGAAAACCTGATATTTATCAGCGATGGGGGCTTCCGTCTGGAGACTTCATGGTTCCTAGGGTCGAACCGTTACCACAGCTGGCAGCGTTGAAGGTCGATCATAGGACTATTAGGTTAGCGGTGCTGCGGTCTGGTTTCGGGAACTGGTAAACCAATCCAAGTAGTTGGGTGTCTTCATCTGATTACTTCTAGGTATTCCGCCTTTATAAGACTCATCGAAGTGAAGCTCCTTGATACGAGCTTCTCGGAAGATTTGCTGCGACAAGAAGAACCTGGGCATACAATAAATGAGCAAAATCAATTCGCAACCATGACACTTTTGTGGGCATTTCAGTTTCCTACGATAGCGGAAGAGGCTACTAGACAAAAAGACAATACTACTTCACCGACATTGCACTATAGGACACTCCAAAGTGCGAGATATTCAGATGATGACCTACGTAAAATGGCCTATGGTTCACGAAGTGGTGTTATCAGGCCGCCTACTATATTCGATATTGGACACAATATCGTTTACTGGGTTCAAAATTTAGGCGATAGACTTTCGTCGTCCCCATACTGTGCACCACTTGTTACAGTCGTCGAATACCACGACGCCGGGCAAGCAGGACATGCTCCAGTAAAGCGCTTCACTCTCAAACCTGGAAGATGGACAACTGGTGTGAGTCTATGACCCCGTGTCAATCATTTTACTTTGTTCTGATAACATTTCCAGAAGGAAAAGTATCAGTATGTAATATCGGCAACTCTCATCCGTGCTCCTTCATTCTCTTTGCCTCCTCATTGGACACTACTCCTCGTTGTCAATGGCCAAACACCATCCATCTATACCATACCCTCATCTTTTATAACTTCTACCGAGTTCATGGTCAATTCCCTTTTTCAACCGCCACCCAACCCAATGGACGAATGCATATCTCAGTTCAAAGTCACTCTACCAGTGTCTACGGAAGAAGACAGCATTGAAACCGATCAGGTCCCACGGCGGAAAAGACACTATGGCCCAGACGAACCATACGGACCTCTCTATGCTCTGAGATTGCATTGGGACCACGACATAGGACCTGTTCCCTTACACTCCCTACCTCAATCATGGCAGGAGCATTTGCAAGAAGCAGATAAAAGTGAATCCAAGGTTTATAA